AGCCTCAAGGCAGAGCGACAAGCCTCAGGCGTCACTGTTGCCATCCGAAACGATATCGTAAGATGACTGCCCGCTGCCGCAGGGCATCAATGATCGCCTGACGAGCCTCTGCCTGCCTGTCCGGGGAGGCAAATTCGTCACAACTATCAGCATCTACGCCTCCCCCCTCCCCGATGACCAGCCCTGACCCTGCAGGAACAAATTCTGCGATGACCTACACGCACTCCTGGCGACTGTGCTGACGGCGGATAAGTTGATTGTCGTTGGTGACTTCAACGCCCGCGTCGGCACAGACCATGCCCCCTGGAGAGGAGGGCTGGGTCCCCATGGTCTCGACGGCTCCAGTGAAAATGGCTTGCTCCTCCGACGAGCCTGCACAGAACACCCGCTCACCCTGAGCAACACCTACTTCCGCCTCCTGATGCAAGAGAAGACCACCTGGATGCACCCTCGGTCGCGACACTGTCACCTGCTGGACTATATCCCCGTCCAGAGGCGAGACCAGCGGGACGTGCTGGTGACAAAGGCGATCCCGGGTGCCTACGGATGGACCGACCATCGTTTCGTCATCTCCAAAATGTGGATTCGCCTACAGTCTCACAGGAGACCCCAAGGTAGGCGACCACCAGATAGGCTGAATATTGCTTTGTTGTATTTGCACGCCCACCATCTCCACTTCCCCGATGAGACAGCTCAACGGCTTGTCAGCCTTCCAGTCGTTGCCTTCCAGTTGCCACGAGAACGCCTCCGTGGAGAACCGATGGTGTCAACTGTGGGACACAGTCTACTCAACGATCCTGGCTGTACCCGGTTGTACTCGACGCCAACATCAGGACTGGTTCGATGACAACGACGTTGCCATCAGAAACCGGCTCGTCGGGAAGAAGCGCATACACAAAGCCTACGTCACTCGCCCCACCAACGAAAACAGAGCAGCCTTCCACTGTAGTCATCGTCTTGTGCAATAGCGGCTGCGGGAGATGCAAGACGGTTGGACAACTCGCAAGGCCGAGGCGGTCCAAAGTTACGCAGCTCGCAAGGGATGAAAGAATTTCGTCTCTGCGATCAAGTCTGTCTACGGATCGCCAACCAAGACAAATTATCCTCTTCTTAGCGCTGACTGCATTACCCTACTCACCGGGAAGACAAATTCTACAGCGATGAGTCGAGCACTTCGGAGGTGTTCCCAACCGTCCCTCCATCGCCTTCGATGTCGGTATCGCCCGTCTGCCTGAAATGTAGACCAACGCCGAGCACGACCTCCGTCCTCTCTCCACAAAACCATTAGGGCTGTGCGGCAGCTCTCCAGTGGGAAAGCACCCGGATCGTACGCGATTCCTCCTGAGATGAACAAGCACGGTGGTCCCCAACTTACGAGCACCTGATAGCGCTATTCCAGGCGATGTGGCGCCGAGGCCAATTCGCGCAGGATTTCAAGTACGCCACAATCGTCCATCTTTACAAGCGGAAATACAATCGTCAGCTCCGCAACAACCATCGATGCATCTCTTTACTGAACATCGCCGGGAAGCTCTTCGCTCGCATTCCCCTCAATCGCCTGAACAACCATCTAGAATAAGGTCTCCTGCCGGGAAGCCAGTGCGGTTTCCGACGTCATCGTGGAACCACCAGCATGATCATCGCCGCCCGTCGACTACAGGAGAATTGTCAGGAAATTAGTAGCCACCTCTGTTCTACCTTCGTGGATCTGACAAATGCCTTCGATACAGGGAGTTGTGAAGGATTGTGGAAAATCATACAGGAACTCGGCCGTTCCGAATGATTCACTCAGATGGTGCGTCAGCTCCACGATGGCATGAATACGTGAGTCGACGACAATGGAGCTGTCTCGGTGGCATTCGCATTGTTCAACGGAGTAAAGCATGGCTATGTACTTACGCTTAAGCTCTCCAGCCTCATGTTCTCTGCTATGGCAAAGGACGCCTACTATGACGAACACGCCGAAATCGCGTCGCCC